GGATTTCTTAATATTGAACCCAACTTTCATTTCTGGAAAAAAATCCTACTTGGTCACGGTGTGTGGTCTGGTGTTAGATTCTGTTTGTTAATGTTTTATTTAATATTTCTGCATTGATATTCCTGAGGGGTACTGGCCTGTGATTGTCTGTCTTTATTGCTCTTTACCTGGTGTGTCAGTGTGACACTTGCTTCATTAAAGAACTTGGGAGCTTTTTCCGACCTTGTCAGTGCTCTGGGCAGTTTACATGGAGCGTTGGAACCGTCCGGCGATGAAGGTCTGCTCGAACCCCTGAAGCTGTCTGTCCGCTGCTTCTTGTGGGGTGCCTGCCTGCCCAGAAAGCAGCTCTTTTTCTTCCCTGCGGTCATCTGTCCCGCGTTCCGGCTGCAGTGGGGCCAGCCTTGGTCATCCGAGTGTCCTTAGGAACTTGTCCTTCTCAGCTACGTTTTCACGTCTGTCTGCACAGACGTCTGTCTGCAAAGCCGTCTGTCTGCAAAGCCGTCTCTTGGGATTTTTAAAATTTCTTGTTTCCTCGTCACTTTCCCTGTGTCATTTCTTATTCTCTGTGTTTGTGCTTTCTCCCCTTTTTTCTTGAGCAACTTAGCTGGTGGATTGTGTGTTTTGTCACTTACCACCCCCCCGCCACACACACATGCACACACACAAGACTCAAGAGTTATTGTTTAGCTCTAGTGTTTTAATGGAAAACTCCACCTCATTAATCAGTTTTTCCCTCCATTGTTTCTCTCCATGCATTTTCTTTTGGGTTACTCTGTTGTTATTTTTATAGTTTTTATGAGCTGAGATTTGTTGGTTTATTAATTTTGTTTTTTCACTTTTATTGATAAAAATATTCATATAATGAATTTTTCTCGGACTATTGCTTTAAATGCATTCCCTAGGCTCAGATACGTAGTGTTTTCTGTGTAATTACTTTTTCAAAATTCTATTCTTTTAGTTTCACCTAAGAGTCAATAATAGGATTTTTAAATATCCAAGTGGAAGTGCCTTTCTGTTTTGTTGTTGTTGTTAATGATGTATACTTACATTGCATTGTGATCAGAAGGTGTTGTCTGCAGTGTTTCTACATTATGGAAATTGTTGATGTTTTCTTTGTGACCTAAATACACCATCACTTGTGGCGAACGTGCTATAGTTTTTTGAGAAGATGTACATTCTCGGTTATCAGGGTGTGCGGTTCACTGCGTATGCACAAGATCTGCCTTGGTTGATGGTGTTGCTGAGATCTGTCTACTTACTTACTCTTGTGCACTTGCTCTGTCTTGTACGGAGATGGTGTACTGAATCTCCCACTATGAGTACGTTCCTACCTGCGTCTCCTTGCATATCCTGTTGTGTCTGCTTCGTAGAAGTGGTGGTTGTATTATTTGGTGCACAGATTTCATGAGCATTGTGTCTTTGTTGCAGACTGTGGCGTTGAACATTAAGTGCATCCTCTTGTGTTTAATGCTTTGGGACTTGAATCCTACTCGGTCTCCTTCTTTCTTTTTGTTTTATTTACCTTTGTCCATCCTTTTAATTTTTGGCTTTTCTGAATGACTTTATTTTAGGTGTGTGTCTTGGACGCAGCATGCAGGTGGGGCTTGTTCTGTGAGCCCAGTTAAAAACTGTTTTCTTTTAATAGGGGGGTATTTGAACCTATTTTTACGTCCTTAGTAGCCTGTGTGATTAAACTCTTTATCGTCTCACTTTCCTGTTTCTTTCTCGTATTCTTTAATACACCTGTTGCTTACACAGCACTGACCTGTCCATTAATCAGAGTGTTTGCCCTTTACCTCTTCCTTCACCTCACATTTTTCAGTTGAATTATTTCTGCTTTGTCACTATGTAATTTTTGCACATCTGCCTTTCAGCTTAACTACACCTTTATTTTGGTCTAAAACACGCACTTACGTATTTTTGAATGTGCCTCCTAAATCCTTTGCTGGAGCCCCCAGTCATCACCAGATCAGATAAAGCTGACCTTCAGAAGGGCCAATTGGGGGTACTGTCGTCCAAGTCCCTGGTAAGGCCCGTGCCAGTCAACTTCCTTTGCGTCTTCATTAATCTGGGCCCGTGGGCCTCGAGGACTTTGTCCTTACCTTTGAGACCCCATAGCTTCATTAGGACACGTCTCAGAGTTGATTATCCTGGGTCGTTTTTCCCAGGTACCCTGTGAGAACTTTCGTTTGAAGATTCACGCCTTTTTCTATGCTGGAAATGTTCTCACATGTTAAATCCTGGCTTTGCGGTTCTGTTTTGTTTTCCTCTTTCGGGAAGCCCGACTCACGGGTGCCACTGCTTCGTGTTCTCTCCCTGCCACGTCTGTCCTCCTCGTGTCCTGTCTTTCCTCAGTGCCCTTGTTACTTTTCATTTGGAGTTATTCTCCTTGGATGCTCTGTAGTTTATTCCTCATTTCTTTCTTTGTTTTTAATTTTTTGATATTTGTTTTGAGAGTGAGAGAAAGAGAAAGAGAGCAGGGGTGGGGCAGAGAGAGAGGGAGAGACAGAATCCCAAGCAGGGTCCATGCTTCAGCGCAGAGCCTCACATGGGGCTCGGTCCCACGAACCGTGAGATCATGATTTGAGCTGAGATCAGGAGTTGGACGCTTCAACCTACTGAGCCACCCAGGCGCCCCCATTCCACATTTCTGAGAAAATTTTGTTTTCCTTCCATTATCTGATGCATCTGCTCATGTCACTTTCTCCCTGTTTTGGTCCTTTTCTGTTTTTAATTTTATATTTCTGATTCAGGGTAGTCTTTCCTGTCCTCAAATGTTTGAATACGTTTATGATTTTAGGGTGTAAATTCCAATTTTCTTTTGACTCATGGTGGTTTTCAGGAGTAACTCTTTACGGTATTGAGTGTTTTTAAAAGATTTCTAGTCTGACGGCAGCCTCTGCGGTTAATTTGGCCCAAGTGCAGGTGCCATGGCCGCTGTTGGCTGGCTGGTTGGTTTTGTTGAGGATGGGCAGGTTGAATCTCGTATTTCCTTTTTGCTCATAAGACCCTACACTCTCCCTCTTTCTTTTTAGCTTTACACTCAGTTGCCAAAGGGTGGTTCTCCCTGCCTTTTTCCTGTTTTCTTCCCCAGAAGCTCGGAGTTTTGCTGATGCCCCTGTAAATGGTGTCTGTCCCCTTCTGCCACATGTGTGCACCTTCAGCCCCTTCCCTGACCCAGGCTCTCTGCTCAGGCCCTTTGTAGCTCTTCTGTGTTTGTACTGGACTTTCTCACCCCTTTGCTGGTGCCGTTCTGTGTCCTGTGCTGCTTCCTTGTGCCCCTGCTCACCAGAGCTCACGTCGGCAGGTGCATGTGTGAGCTGGGAGCACGAGGCGCCCCGCACTGGCCCCTGCTGGCTTTTCTGTCTCTCGCCCTGTTTTCCGTCGTTCACGTTCTCTGTCTTCACATTGTCCCACAGTGTGGTCTTGTGTAGACTCGTAGTTTGGTTAGGGGAGCCGTAGGGAAGTCATGGCTCGTAGCCAGCCTTGTCTTTGGCCACCTGGAGGTCGAGCACTTACCCCGAGAAAGTCTCAGTGGGTTAAGGGACTTGGAGTTCAACATTTTCCAGTTTAATCTCCAATTTCCATTTAGCCTGTAAGGCATGTTAGAGGTCAGTAAAACTAGCACTCTAAATCCATGATAGAAGGTTTCTATCCTGAGTAAATCCACTGAGTAAAAAAATAAAGTCAAATTAGAAAGTACAGACAGGTATTAGCACAGACGATACAAACGTGGTACGAACCTTGGTGATGGTTTGCCAGAGGCCAGGCGGCCGAGGGGGCCGCAGCGTGAGCGCGGGTCCGCTGAGCGGGTGGGAGCTGGTCCAGCAGCGGGGCCGGATGCCGGCCCCGGGCCGAGGTCGGGCTTCACCGCCACACGCAGGGGTCCTGTCGCTTGTCAGCTGGGCATCACTGAAAACAGGGTGGCCCTTCAGAAGGCTCAGTCTTGGGATCTTGAGAGTGAATGCGTTTTTCCTTTAGTGTCGGAGGATTGCTTTCGCGGTTGGCCTTCTTCAGTTCCTGGGGAAGCGGAAGCCAAGTGCTGACTTTCCCAAAGCTTATCAGTTACAGAGCATGTGTGCAACTTGAAAATAAGTACGATTAATTTGCTCCTCAGTGTCAGCAAGACCATAAAGAATTACTCACCTGTGAATTATTCATCTCGTATGAAGAAAGTTTGTAACTCGAAACCAGGCAAAATGTGTTGAAGCACGTAACTAGTTTCTGGAACAAAATTGATAGGTTTTGTATATTTTCAATATCAGTAAACCAGTCACAATAGTTTATTATAAGAGTTTCGCCCAAAATTGTTGCAGATGGCTACTTTAAATCTATAAAGCTAAGTAAACACCAAACAGTGCTACAAGTAATGAGGTTAAATGTAACTGATGGAATGGGTTCCTGAAAGATGACGTTTAAAGTCACCCCCCGAACGCCCTGTAAACTTGCCGGGCTCCGCAGGGTCTGTATTTGCAGCTGACATTTTCCGAAAGCAAATCCAGTTAGCGTCGTGTGCTCTAGGAGGCTCTCTGAAGTGACATTTGGTGTATTTCAGAAGCGGGTGTGCAGGAGACTCGAGACGGCTGGGCAGGAGCGAGGCTGCCCCCCGGTGAAGGTGAGCACCCCCATGTCCTGGAGCGGCGAGGGGCTCCCTGACAGCGGCCAGCGGTGGCCACGCGTGGGGGTAGGTTCCATTCCCACCAATCCAGCTGTGACCCATTTAAATATTTTAATAAAAAGTGTAAATAATCACTGTTCTGATACATCTGCGGCTGTGATTTGTTAAATAGATTCCTCACAACGGTGGAAGGAACTCGGCCCAGCCTTGCCCGAGATGTATTGCGGGGGAATCTGTAAGTGCATTAACCTTCTCGCTGTGACATAGAAGACAGACTTGTTCTTAAATATTAGATCCATAAAACAAAGTTAATAGAAACGGCAATTACGTTTCTAAGGAATGAGGGATGTAAATAAAAAGGTGCAGATTGATTTAAGCATTTCTTGGCATTCTGCTGGGGTGCAAACTGATTTGTTTCCAGCTTCAGCTTGGAAACAGAAATGAAAATACACTTAAAATTTTTTCTTAACACAGAGTTCAGGGAAGGGAACAGGCCACTGGATACATTTAATAGAGATCATTTGAAGACGTCTTGGAGGAAAGCCCTGACCTCATTTAATTATCCGAATAGGGATGGACATTGTTTTCTCTTTTCCCTGCTTAAGCTTTCTTTCGTGTTTCTGTAAACTTTATAGAAACCACAGATTTCAGAGGGAGAAATGCAGTATTCCCACCATTAAATCAAAGTAAAGGAGGCCTAACATAGCCAGAGTCACATTCCCCATCTCCTGTATCGGGCAGGATATCGTAAGGTTGGACACTAGCATCATACCTTTGTTATTCATTTTGGACTTACTCTAAGAACAAGTTAATATGTCTTTTGATAACCTCTGTAATTCTTGGGGTTTTTTTAATTTTAAATTTAGAATCGTAATATCACAATAAAATGGAATTACGTTTAATTGACACATAGAAACCAGGAGACAGAGAGAGAGAGAGAGAGAGAGAGAGAGAGAGAGAGTGTGTGTGTGTATCTGTGTGTATGTGAGTATTTCTTAGATTTCCTCCTACAGATTTTTAGAGAAATGTATTGCTCTGTTTCTGATAAGCAAAAGATTGAGTCAATAAATTATAAGATTTTCAGTGGATATATTGCAGGCTACTGTATTTTACAGTGAGAAGCAATGGTTTTGTTTTTAGTGAAGACCTAAGTGTCGGCTATCGCCCGTGTGAACCTCTGCTTACCTGAAGTCATTGGAGAAATAGAAACCAAGCTTAGTGTTTGACTTGCTTTGTAAAGGTGTGCTTTTCGATTTTTTTTTTTTAATGTTTATTTTTGAGAGAAAGAGAGCATGAGCAGGGGAGGGGCAGAGAGAGAGAGGGAGACACAGAATCCTGAGCAGACTCTAGGCTCTGAGCTGTCAGCATAGAGCCCACTGGGGTGGGGTGGCGGTGGGGGGGCTCGAACTCACGACTGTGAGTTCGTGACCTGAACTGAAGTTGGACGCTCAACCGCCTGAGCCATCCAGGCGCCCTGCTTTTCGACTTTTTGTGGTCTTTTCGTCAGGAGAATTCCTGCGCATTGTGCTTCATTCCCTGGTGTAGTCCTTGAACAAGGGCGGAGGCAGAGATCCAGTGGTCGGAACTTACTGTACTTTAGGTTGGTTCGTACAACAGCTGCACCTGCGCTGGATACAAATACGTGATGTTTACCTGGAGAGACATGGCCCCATTGTGAGTAAATTGTGTCAGTGCTGGTGACTAGATGGTGACCTTCCTTGTCCTCGTCCCATTTCCATGGAATGTATCTCTCAAATCCCCCCCTCTGTTGGGCAAATACTTGGGACGTAGTATGGATTCTTACTGCTCCAAGAGGTTGTGTTCTGGCATGAATGGCTTAAAGAAAAAAAATTTGGCTCAAACAGCTGATTGGATCATTTTAGCTAATATTCTGTTTGAACAACAGTATCTATTTGATTAGGATTTTTCCTTCCTTTGTAACTCCCTAGGCTTGCCTCTGTTATGTTTCATAGGAAATGAATCTGTGAGCAGAGAACCTATATTGATATGTAAATACATCATTTTTTCGTTAGTGCTCGATATTCTTTTCATCTAAATTTCAGAAACCGACTTTAAAAAATCAGTTTCCCTTTATCAGTAGTCATTCTCAATAAAACTTTACCCAGGCTTGGGTGATTTAATATTTACACCCACTGTTTCTAAAAGTCTTATGTAAATAAAGATTGAAATGTGAATTTGAAAAGTCACACCTCTTGATATTTGAACAGACTATAGCTGCGTATATCTTCTTTTTCTAATAATACGGCTAGTTTCTCTCCTAAGCTTTTAAAATAATAAGACGCTATTTTTGTATTCTGGAACATCAAAAGGTTCAGTGTTAAATAAAAAGCAAATAGTATTTTTAGAAATGTGAGATCCCAGGGAGCACTGCTTACCAGGAAATCACCAGCAGACAGCAAGTCCGACTTGCAGAAGACTTCATTAGACACACGACTCCATCCACAGACGTGTGCCCGTGCACACAAGTGTGCCCCTTCTGTACCACTGTTCCCGTAGTGGAGCCAGGGTGGTGACCTTGGGTCACAGAGAAGCACAGGGTGCACCGGGGAGTCTGTGGGGCCCTAAAGGGAAACTCCCCTTCTTTGGTGCTCCCCGCCCCCCCCCCCCCCCATAACCTCCTTTGTGCCTCGTTTTCTGGTGTGGTTCTGACTTGGCGGGACCTCACCTGATCGGCCGGTCCTGCCCTGAGTCCTCAGGCAGCTGTCGCGGCTCGGAGCCCGAGTTTCTGCTGTCATTCTACTCCTGAGCTCTTGGTTTTTAGCACGAATCATTTCTCATGAATGCAGGGTCTTGGCTTCTCGCGTGTGCGGGGACTTCTCGGTTGCCCTTCTCCATCCGCCTTGTCGCTCAGGCTGGCGCGTGGTCTCCCCGCTGTGCGGTCTGTTCTGGCTCCCCTTGCAGCGATCGCCATTTGGGCCTTGCCGCGGGGTCTCTGCTGTCGTGCGTGCTGTTCCTTGGAGGCACCTTCTCTTAGCCCTGCTTCGTCCTGCTCGGGTGACCGACGGCTGCAGTGAAAGTGGCCCCTGTCCTTGTGGTGGG